GCTAACAGACCTCGTGCGACGTTTGATTTGTATACTAGGTTAAGCAGATTCCATATTGAGGGTTTGGGGGTGTTACTTTTTGCAAGATTCTTGAATTATGCAAACATTCACTGCCAACGTGTCTAAATGAGTGTAGTTGGTCAGAGAACATCACCGTCTCACACCTATCTCAAAATCTGAAACCTTTCACTTTCAGGGAAAAGGGAAATCGTACTGGCCGAAGAAACTCAACGAATCTGTTGAGTATGGAGACATTGTGGTGAAGATGACCCAGGTCTTAATGATCAACATATACTCCATACGTAAATTCCAGATCTCCATGGTAAGTTATTTGTTTGTAGGTATAAATCGCCGGTATCTCGACTTCTATTCAAAATAGACGGTTTTTTAAATAAATAATTTAATTCAAGAAAGACAGTGGACAAGCTTTAAGATAATACCAATAGCTCTACATGCCCAAAAAAAGATGATGAGCTCCTGATTCCACAGCATTGTGATAAATATATACAATATACAGGGTGATCTAAAAAAAACAACTGTACAACTTTTTTTGTCAATATTTCCGTCCACACTTAAGTTTTGCGCTTCAAATTTGTACATAAGTTTAGGAAGTCAAAAGAAATTTGTTTGATATTCATTTTAGAAAAATCTACTGGATAGTTTTGTTTTACAACGCGCCTAAAAAAACAACCCATTTTCAGCTATGTCCCCATTTTTGTAGCATGGCTCATTAGTGCGCATAAGGCCTACCTCTAAAAATCCCTACGATTGAGCCATATTGCATACTACAGTAGTCTAACAGGCAAATAGATCTTTGCAGATAGTTTCTTCTCAAGTTTCCTGTGCCTGCTGTGATCATGGTTAAGATTAGTAAAGAGCAGAGAGCTTTTTGTATTTAACATTTCCTCACCACCAACTCATTTCGTAAGTTTCGCACAAGGTACAGAAATAATGTTAAAGTGCCCCAAAGGCCTTCTTTGATGTCAAGGGTGGAAATTTTATTGGTTCCTCAGTTAGTACTTGTAGAGAATCAGAACTAAAATTATCCGGACAAAACACCATTTCAAGTCAAATATACATCATTCGCACCCCTTTAAACGATGAGCCCCATGATGTCTGCAGCAATGGCATTCCTTCATCTTGACTGTCCGCACTCTCAGGGCAGATCTTCTTTTACGACTGTACCATTTTCCCGTTCGCGAAACTATCAGAGGATAACAATGTGTTTATGATTCCTCGATGGTCTTGAAAAGCGTGGACATTTTCTCTATGACATTTTGGTTCCTTGGCAAAGCCCATATTCACCTTTCAGGTTACATCAACTCCACAAATGTTTTCTATTGGGCAACCTCACCCCTCGCCCTATTGTCTCTAAAACAGCTCCTTACTGTAAAGTGTACAGCATATGTGGCTTTGGGTACTCATGGTTGAGTGGATCCTTGTGTTTGGCCACTTTGAACATTGCGAACGACGCGTTAAAATGTGTCGAGTCCAAAGGAGGACATATAGACCGTTGGTAGCTGGTAGGTCACTGCATTTGCCTTCATAGTTATTGTTTATTTATTTTTTGTCCATACGCCTATTTAGTATGAAAATGCTTCCCAAATATTTAAATTCCTCTACCTGTTGGAGTTGTCCTCCGTCAATAAGGGTGTTGAGTTTCCCTGGGTTTTTTCTAGCTTTCATAACTTCTGTTTTCGAAATAGAGATTTTCATGTTTAGGTTTTTACATTCCTCATTAATTAATTTTGTGGTGTGTTTTTGTGATTCCTCTTCATCTGTATTTAATGTAGGCCTACTGTGGTTATCAGCAAATAGAAGCTTGTTCAGTTCATTGATGTTGCCATCTGCTGCTTTCTTGATCTTATTCATCCTCATAAGTGAGGAAGAGAAGCGGAGAGTGAACACACCTTTGTTTCACCCCAGACCTGACGTGGAAACAGTCCGATAGTCCTTCTGTTGATCTTACGGCACACAGGCTGTTTTTATAAAGTGCCATGATGTTCTCCAGCAATTGTCCTTTTACACCATATTCCTCTAAGACCCCCCCCCCCCTTACGGGGCGGTGCCTTTTCTAAAGCCAAACTGGGATTCAATGAGTGGAGTCTGTACAATAATTCTCATTCTCATTTCAGTATCTTAGCAAACGTTATATCCACACGGCTGAGAAGGGATATTCCTCTGTAGGCTCTGTGTTGTTTTTGTCGCCCAGGCCAGGTTAAATATCCCCCCATAGCCAGAGTTCTCCGAAATGGCCGTATACTTTGATCTCTTCTGCTGTGACGTTTTCAACGCCTATCGCTTTGTTTGTGGGGCTTTTCTTTCTAACATGTTGGCTTTCACTCAGCAGTGGTGATGGTTCTGGAGTGGTTTCTTTCGGTGAGAAGCTGTTTGCTGTTGTTTCTCCTATAAGATTCAGCAGCTCCTGGAAATAGCGTTCCCATCCTACCTTAATCTTTGGTTTTCTGAAAATAGGGTTCCGTTCTCAACATTGACTATTTCAGTAGGGTTGAATGGTCCTTTATACATCCTCATGCTTTTAACTCTCCTGTAAAACTGTCAAGGATCTTCTTTACATTTTGTTACCAGCCGTTCTCCATATACTATCCAGGATCTGTTCTTAGCTTCTTTTACTACCCTTGATGTATTGCGGCGTTCCTTTCTGTATAGGATGTAATCTTCTTCTGTCTTTGATTTCTGCCGCTTTTTGAATGGCTTTTTCTTCAGTTGGATGGCTTCCTTCACTTGGTCTATCCACCATATAGTTGTTTTCTTTTTCTGCCATCTTGTTTTCCTGGTGCTGCACTCATTTTAATGTTCAATTCTTACATGTTTTGAAGTGGCTCCATTCCTCTTCAATGTCTCCCGGCTGTTTGGGCAATTTGTGAAATACATCTTTGAAACGTTCATGTATCTTATCTTTGGTATTGTCTTTTATATTTCTGAGATTTACGACTTCTCGTCGTTTCCTTGCTTCTGGCCTTTTCCTGTTTGGAGTGACGGTAGTCATGATGACTGGTCTGTGGTCACTGTCTGTGATGTAGATCGGAATCACTCTTGAGTCTCTGATTTTTCTCAGTTTCGATCTTTTGGCCAAGTAAAATTAATTTGTGATGCTATCTTTAGGTCATTCCATTTGTACCAAGTTTTAACTTGAATCCTTTTGTGTTGGAAGAAGGTATTTGATATGACGAGGTCATGTTCTGCGCACAACTGTAATAGCATTTCTCCATTGCTGTTTTGATCGGTTTCTCTGTCACTGTGTGGTCCCATGTATCTCTCCCACGTCGTCTTCCTTGTGTCCATTCTGCCTTTAAAAACCCCCATGATTGTCCCATTATCTTTGTCATCCACGGTATTTAAATGGTCACTCAGTTTATCGTAGAACTGATGTCGCTGTTCTTCGAGGTATGAGTCATTGCATGGTGCACATATCTGTATTTGATTACCCTCAGTAATAATCATATTCTACGGTGATTTCCCGCTTTACACCATACTCGTTGAATTTTTTATATATTCTTCAAGTCTGTGTTATGCTTTTTTTAAAGTTTAGTTTTAGCACGGGTTTAACTGCAACACAAATAGGTCATATGATAAGACCTGAAGATTAGAGGTTTTACAAGAAAGTAACATACACGGAAAAGAACGAGGAGAGATAAGGACGGTTGATTGCTAATGGGGAAAAAGGGAACAAACCACACCCCAGAGCACCCGCCAACCTCTTGCTTGAGTTATGCATGTAAGATTGAAACTGCTTTCAATTTTAATCATTTTCCTCTAAAAGCAAGGAAAAGAACTCTTTAAAACAAAATGAGTGATGTTTTTCTTTTGAAAATCAGACCATTATTATGGAAAGTGTGCCCGTTTCTTTTTTGGGATAATAGGTATGGGACTCAACACGTCACGATTATGACGTAATTAAACGGTAAATAGAATTTTACTCTTAATGTACTTGACTTTTATTTTTATATATTGATTTTACTTAAAACAACAAACAAAATGATACTTCAATGGTTACGATACAACTATTATTAAGGATTTTATGACGTTTAAATTTCAAGTTTTGGAGGTACAAAATTGATTCACAAAAATGGTCGCTGCTTCTGAACTAACAAAGATATCGCAAAAATTTTTAAAGCTCTGAAAACAGAAAGCCAAGCTCTTTTCAATAATCCAAATTTTAGTGCCTTCGGAGAAGTTTGAAAATGTCACTGAAGTGCCTATATATCGCTGTTGTTGTGACCACTTTCCACAATCTACATCAAACGAGATTTAGAAAGTTTTTGAAGCTAAGTTTATCTTTCTTTTATTTCTTGTCATAGCAAGAATATTCCAAAAATTTGGGCAAAGAGGTTACATAATTGAAAACCCTAGTGCAAGCAAATAAAACTTTAGCATTAATACCTTCCTTAAAAATCATTGTGAATTGAGACTAAAAGGCGGTCAAAAATTTGTGGCACAACTTATTCTCAAATACCTTTTTAACGGAAGAACCAATGTCACCCATATTTTGCACAGCATTTTGCATCAATTTGTCTTAACTGAATCATATTTTTCCACAACTTTCGAGGCAAGATTAAAAAACGTTTCTTCTTTCATTTATTTAAAATACTACAAATCTCCTTCACGCGGAAAACGGAATTGTTCACAGCACTTCCCGCTTCTCACACATATTGTGCGTACGTATTTGGCCTACGTCACAGCTCACCAATGACACTTTTTGTGACAAAACTAGTTACAAGAAATTAATTTATTGTGAACACATTTTTGCGCTAAAAGTTGTCAAAACATGCGTTCAATAAGCATACTGTTGCGATAAGAAAAACATGACGGACTTCCTTTTAAAAGCGATAATGTCCCAGCTGTAAACCTTTTTAAATCAGTAGAAATCACCCCGAGGGATTTGTTATTTGTATTTATTAAGGGATTTTCGAGAAAAGAGCTAACAGGTGTTTACAAAAATATAAACCTGTTAAGACAAATTGATAAAAGTCACTGTGCAAAAGCTGGAAAGTTTATCTTCGATAGTTGAATAGATATCTATATAATCTATATAAAAAACTGGACTTGGCAGGCTTTGTGAACAAACTCCTCCCTTATTACCTAACCCACACCTTTGAAACTGTGCAAGCGTCCACAGCATCCATGTGGTTAGGACCTAACTTTTAAAAATCCACGCAAACTGCTTTGCCCGATTTTTCCAAAATGCTTTGTTTCGTCCACACAGATTTCTAATCTTGGGAAAGTCCGTCTTCTAAGACGCCTTTGTAAACCAGTGAGGTTTCCGTTGACTAGCCGTGGGCAGTGCTTCCACACCTTTGAAATTCTGGAGTGTACAACCACGAAAGCGGAATAGAGAATCAATCTTACTTGACTTACTTGTCTTACTTATCCATTGTGTTGGGGTCACTGCAGTCGGAACATGTCCATCTCTGCTCTCCCCCCCCCCCCCCTTTCAGGATCCATCCCAGAGTCTGTCTGCTTGTAGTCTCCGTCATAATCTGGTTGGAGATCCGTCGGACTGGTCCACTTTGGTGGCTGTGTTTCCCCTTCTCCTCTTTGGATCCCCTTCTCCTCTTTGGATCCCCTTCTCCTCTTTGGATCCCCTTCTCCTTCAATCTACCTAGAGTGTGGGAACCGCTATCCGCCCTATTCTTCCTCAAATTTTCTCTTACAGCGGTTAGGACGGTTGGTGGGGTCCAGTGTCAAATTCCCTCCCACTGTTGCTTCTCAAGCCAGCTTGTCTGCTCTCTCGTTGCCGGTTACCCCCGCGTGACCCGGGCAGAAGATCCAGGCCACTCTTTCCAGGCTGTTCTCCCTGATGGAAGCCGTCCAGTTCGCATACATCATCCCTTTCTGTACCTTCTGTATTTTGCTCATAGAGTCAATAGTGATTACTGTTTCTGGTGGCTTGTGTTCTTGATCCGGTGTAGAGCCTACCTTATAGCTTTTATCTCCGTACACATACTTGATGTTGTCAGTGCACTTGCTCCACTTTGCTCTTTACTACCCCATCAACTCTGACACTGAAGGCCCAGCCCGATTTGACTTCTCAGTTGACTGATCCATCCGTGAAGATCACAGCATCTCCATGTTCGCTATGCTGTTCTATCAAGGTTTCAATTTCAGCGTGTGTAGCTCCAAGTGGCCAGTTGCGACATTCTCTAACCAATGTTGCCTTCACTGACCTAATCCCTTCCTCTCCTGATGTCTTGTATCTGGCAGCACTCGTTGATGGTGTTCGTGGCTTGAGTAATCTATTCTGTGCCCATCTTTAGCCTTGATGTCATCTGCCGTCCCACTTTCTTAAGTAGAGGGTTCGTCTCGTCTACGCTGACTCGCAGAAAGGCTTGGACTTGTGCCAGTTTGTGCCTCTCGTCTGCACATAGGAAGTCTAGGAAGTACAATGTATCTCATTGCTTCAGTTGAGGTATCCCGTGTGCACCCCAGGATTGCCCTCATTCTTTCATTTTGTAACACCTCGAGTCGTTGCAGTTGCGCCTTTGATAGGGTCAAGAGTCCGAGCCCGTACTCTACGACAGAGAGGATCTGTGTCTGGTAGAGGATGACAAGGATTTTCTGGCTCACTTAGCTCTGGCCATCATCTTAAGGGCTGTTAGGCCTTTTCTCGCTCTGGAGATTGTTCTCGTGATGTGATCTTTGCCAGAGAGGGTGCAATCAAACGTGATGTTCAAGTACTTCAGTGTGGGTTCCCGCTTCAGCACTTTGCCTACAATCGAGATACTTGGCATGTCATCGTGCACTGCATGGTTATTCAGTGTACACCACAGTGCACAGGCTTTGTCTGGGTTCAGTTTCCCGTTGGTCGCTTCACACCATAGTTCAAGTCTGTCGAGTTCTTCCTGTACTCTTTCCCCTGTAACCGTCTTAGAAAAGCATTTTGGAAAAATCGGGGAAAGCAGTTTGTAGTCCCTTATTACCTAACCACACCTTTGAAAAACTTTGCAGGCGTCCACAGCATCCTTGTGGTTAGGACCTAACTTTTTAAAAATCCACGCAAACTGCTTTCCCCGATTTTTCCAAAATGCTTTGTTTCGTCCACACAGATTTCTAATCATGGGAAAGTCCGTCTTCTAAGACGCCTTTGTAAACCAGTGAGGTTTCCGTTGACTAGCCGTGGGCAGTGCTTCCACATCTTTGAAATTCTGGAGTGTACAACCACGAAAGCGGAATAGAGAATCAATCTATACATCTATTATATATTTGGCAACTTGGAAACACATGTGTCACTTTTCTCTCAAGATTGCTCCATTCCAGTAGAGTGTAAATATAGTAGACCAATGATTTTCAGGCGATCACTCTTTTCATCGAAAGGGGACCAGGCTAGTTTGGCAATAAATTGCACAACAAAATTCTGACCGCTCTGTAGTACCTGATTCCTTTTTTCTAACAGTGATGTGTCCATTATTTTATTTTTTTGCAGGGTTCAGAAAAACGCCAGTTGACCCACTTTTCCCTGCAAGAGTGGACTGATGCCAAGGCCGACTTGACAGTAGAAGATGTGGTAGGCTTCGTTAAAATTGTGCGACAGGAAGCCATACATACGAATTCTGGGCCATTTGTCGTCCATTGCAGGTTGGTAGACGCTTTCTTACATGATTAAAACAGAAACCTATTTGTCAGTTAAGGAGTCTGCATATTTAATCCACATAATCAGATCGAATTGAATACTGGCATCTGTGGTGTAGCGCATAAACACTTCACAGTCGCATGCAGTAGACCGCAGTTTGATTCCCAAATGGGTAGAAGTTTTTATAGAGTACCTTGATCTTTCTGCAAGGATGTTTTATAGAGATCTCGATTTTTCTGCTGGGATATTGTATCCCCCTCAGTCCGGGTTGGCCCTGACAGTGTCATGGTTGGAAGCCCGCCTCCTAAATAATAATCTAAATTGTGTCTGTGGGGGTGTAAAAATACCCACATTTTACTATGTTTAAAAATTTCGGATGGGGTCAAGTTGGGAAATGTCACTGACCAACGCACTCAGTATTAAATAAACCTCTGCTTCACGTCATTTAAGTTGATCGGGAAATCCTTCAGGGCTTATTGCATTCTGTGTTCCAGGAAAAGATATTGCGGAGTCAGATATTGTCTTTTTGTGCAGAGTGCAATAGGCCCTAATGTAAGGAGTATTTGTGTTTGTGTGTGAGTGAGTTTGTGTGTGAGTGAGTTTGTGTGTGTGTGTGTGTGTGTGTGTGTGTGTGTGTGTGTGTGTGTGTGTTTGTGTGTGTGTCTGTGTTTGTGTGTGTGAAGAGAGAGACAGTGAGACACACACACACACACACACACACACACACAGACAGACACACACACACATACACACACACACACACACACACACGCACAAAGAGAGAGAGAGAGAGAAAGAGAGAGAGAGAGAGAGAGAGAGAGAGAGAGAGAGAGAGAGAGTATTATTATTATTAGTATGATTTCTCTATGCAGAGACTGTCTTTCATTTTCATGAATACCCTGTTCTATGTTATGAACACCCTGTTCTATGTTATGAATACCCTGTTCTATGTTAGGAATACCTTGTTCTATGTTACGAATACCCTGTTCTATGTTACGAATACCCTGTTCTATGTTATGATGTTCACAGCGCTGGTGTGGGTCACACTGGTACTTTTATTGCCCTGGACTATTTGAGCCAGTTCGTGGACAAGCACAGACTAGATGAGAACATCGACGTTTTCAGTTACGTCATGAAGATGAGGGAGAACTGTCCCGGTATGGTGCAGACGGAGGTGAGGTTCACAGTCCAAACCTAAGTTAGGTTTAGGTATCCATCAAACTGATACCTTAAGGTACAGGTATCCAAGCTGCTTCTAAACAATTGAAAGATTGATACCGGAAGATCAAGAAGCATAACAAATCTAGCCAGTTTTATACCTCCTATCACCACAAACAAGAGTGGCTATTTCTCAAACATCGCCTGCTTATGTTCAACGGCTTGTCTTCCAAATGTGTCTGTCTTGCATTAATAGAACAAGCTGCTTCCATGATTTATCAGCTTTTTTCCTCAAAACGTTTTCTCCATTCATATCGACGAGTTCCCTGAAAAATCTCATTGGGTCATTTCCTTAGATTCTGCATGTAAAAACTACATGATGCCCCCTCTTTCACATCTCCACTATAAGGGTCGCCATATCTGATGTGACATACCAGATGTATACGTTTTGTTGTACATCTGCAACGTTTACTTCCGCAACTTCGAGTAGAGAGCATAGCCTTTTGCACAACAGATGATAAAGAGAGTTATTTCATTTTCAGTCACTACCATTTTCACAATCCTTTTCGGAGAGGCCTCTTATTTTGATAGTTAAAGACGGGATGCTTTTCCAGGCAAAACAGAGTTAATTGTTATATTTTGATCTAACTGCCAACCGTGATTTTATTTTCAGACTCAGTACATTTTCATCTTTGATGCACTGATGGCGGTGATACAGAAAAAGATAAATGATGACCAGGAGAGGATCTATGACAATATCGGAGAGAGTGAAGAGGACATGAACGAAAACCTTTCCCCGGAAGAAACTTCACATTATTATTCAACCATGTAGGTCTTTTTGGATTTCCCATTTTGTCCATGACAGCTCAACTTTTGCTGGAAGAACAGGTTTTGTGGATGCTTTGAGAGCACTCTTGTCTTGTCCTTTCATTGTACTTCTTTTCCCTCTGTTTTATCTGTTGGTCTCTCCCTACCTAGTTGGAGCTGTTGCTGTTATTGCTCTGGCTTTCTATAAAATTTGTTGATAGGGTGCTAAAACACTTAGGAGGATGTTTCTTCAAATGTAAACTGTTTTGACAAGCTGTGGTTGTTGTTTTTTTACATATGTCGTTTTTTATAGAATAAGGATAGTGATATTTTGTTACTAAGGCTTACAGCTTTGAGTACTTGTGACTGACAGGGTTCGTTTTTTCCATTATTCAGTATATAACCTTGTAGGTTACCCAAGATAACTAATTACGTGTTGTTGAATCGAGGTCTACGTATACCATACTGAATCCAATAAAACACTGAAGATCCAGCTCAGGAGAAAAGCAAAATGTGTGTGCAGATAATGTAGAGCTTACGGCTCTTGATCTTCTTGTTCTACTTGCTTTCGCTTCTGCCTTAAGTTTTCTTCTAATCCTGATTAAATCCAATGACTGTTGGCTAATCCATTCCTTGTGCTCCCATTTCTTCACACCGACTAGTGAAGCAAAGACTTCTAACTGAAATATAAGATATTTCAATGATGGATGTTTGCCATGTGTGTGTGTGTGTGCTAGGAGCAAATACATTGTTCCTTGAAGATTTAGTTCTACAGGTTTCCAGGAAAGTGACCAAGTATAGTCGAACCTCCTTTAATACCGGGTGCCCATTGCGGATGGGATCAGGTCCGGTCGGGTAGATTCCCGACTCGTCGCCTGAAAACAAAAGTGTATGTTTTTGAGGCAACGAATCAGGTGATCGGTTTGTGCCACAATTGCCGCCTTGTGCCCTCAATCTGGCTAGCAAACCGACCCGACCCAGCCAGTAGTGCCAATGGGCACCCAGTATCATTGTATAATTATATATATATATATCACCTGTACAAACAAGCACTCCCCCCCCCCTTGTGTATTTTTAACATGATAATGACATTGAGTGAGACATCCACACGTCTAAGTCATCCACTTTTGTCCTCAACAATTGATAGCCGTCTTAGACAATTTCAAGTGGATAAATAATTATTTCTAGATCTTAAGTTTTAGAGATGAACACCTAAATTATGAAACTTCAACATGTATTTATTTTCTGTATTTAAAGAACTCCCGCCTTCTGATCTTTTCATTTGTACACCTAGTGACCGACTAGAACAGCTGTCAAAATTATGGCTGTCTGGGTCTTTCTCCAGATGAGACTGAGAATATTTTATATTTTATTTTTCTGAACAATTAGAACTTCACACTGCATCATTATGCCACTTTTGAAATTTTGAAATAAGTAATGAAGAGGGGTTTTTTTTTATTTCTTTGAAAACTCAATTACCAACGTCCAACACAAAAAACATTTTGGGGGACAACTCTTTCTTACATTCCACAATTCTACTAATAGAACACAGTGTTATGCTTGAGGAAGTGAATTTCAGCAAACCAAAGTCGAGATTTTTTCTTTGCTGTAGTTTTTTGTGCCAAGATCTCATGCTTTAATTCTCAAACTGTGTTTTTGTGAACATTATTCTGTGTTTGTTCTTCAGAGCCTGAGTACCAAAAAGTGGAAGTGATCAATGACCAAAAAGAAACTCCCGTGACGGCAGGGGCGAAGGCTGACTTGTTTGACAGGGTAATCAAAGTGAAACTGGACCAGATATAGATCTATATGGCCTGTAGATATCACAGAAGAATCTTACTCGAGGCGGCGACTCTGAGTTGTGAATGAAAACAAATCCGGAATTCATATTGTATGTTAAACCGCCAAAATAATCGGGAAAGTATTTTTATTAAATATCAGTTCCAACTAAAATTAAATTAACTTTAGATGTGAATACATAAACACAAAGCAAAGAAGCAGAGATGTCAGTACTAGATCTATATGTTATAGACCTACCAGAGAGTCTAACTCTTTGGTAGAACATGACAAGTATCATTTTTTAAATTTCACATTTGGCTGTTTTTGTTAGCCTTTCGCGGCCAGGAGCTTGTGTCATAATCGAGGTCACGATCTGATTATAGGACAGTAAAAAGTCGAGGAAAAAAAAACCAAGCACATGCAGCAGTAAAGAGATTGTTAGGAGTTAGTTCCCCTTACATTTGTGAGGTAGACTCGACCAGTGTTCGTTAGCTTACTTAATCAGGGCTTGGGATTGATTATAACTGTGACCCCAAAGGGATGAACAGGGTATATGTGGCAATGAAACAGCCATGACTGCTATGCACATGTTCCCTCAACTGTAGTGGTTGACTCTTCCAGCCTCACTTTAAGCTTACTTAATCAAAGCTTGCGACTGCTTATGGAGTGGCCCGAGAGGGGTGAGGAGGCTATTTATGTGGCCGTGAAACCGTTTTGAATGTTAGGCATACTCATTGTGGATTACGAACCTCTTTTTACTTTTAATTTAAGAGGTTTACGTTTAAGGATGAATTTGACAGCGACAATGTTTCAAAATTAGGAAGGGAAGCAGTGATTATTTGATTATATAGACGCTTCGCCCCTGCGTGACGGTCCTGTAAAGGTCTCAACTCACGTGCACCGAACGACCTGCTCTCTCCACTCAACTGCTCAACTTCGCCGCAAGCCTTTCCTGTTGGCCCACAGCCCTGTCCTCTTGGAAGAAACTGTGACCTTTTTTCTGCAGCAAACACCAACGTGCACGATGCGAAAAGGTTAAAGGCTCTTAACCCATTTGGCTCGGTCCTATCAAAGACGGACGTGAAATTCAGAGGCCACGCGTCTTAAATAACCCATACTCTAACACACACACACACACACACACACACACACACACACACACACACACTCACACACACACACACAAACACACACACACACACATACACACACACACACACACATTTACACACACTTTCCAGACAATCAGTGAATCTTTCTATTCTCATCGAACTAGTTAAGTAATCACGGTTCTTTTGGAGGACGTGTTATTGAGGTCTCCATTCATGAAAACATCTTTTTCACATGTCGTAACCACACACACCCCCCCCCCCTCCTCCCACCCCATCTTTTGGTCTCACAGAGGGTGGAGTCCCCAGATGTGTGTAGTAGGTCAAGTGAGCTCCGAATGAAGACCTCAACTATACTTTTTTGTTTTTGTATAGTGTTTTACGGCGCTCGCAACTGCATAAGGTCATATGAGCGCGCGGGACACACCTAATATTTTCAGTTGGTAGGAAATTTTGAATTTTGCCCGGGTGGCGGCCGAAGCCTACTCTTATCGATTTTAGACCACCAAGGTATCTTTAACGTGCGCAACTTGCACACGGGCCCTCCGAGATTTTTCGCCCTTTTCCGAGAAGGCTAGGTGTAGATCTTTCCTACCAGAAGATCAGGGGTGTGGCAGAAAGACAGCAGTAAGGAGGAACCAAGGAGTAGCAGTAGAAAGGCTGCAGAAAGAGTCAGGAGCCCAGAGGAGGGGGCAAAGGAGGTGAGGGGGTGGGGGCAGAAATTGGAAATGAAAGCAGACAACAGAACATTGCTGGAGAGCAGGAAAGGAGGTGAAAGGAGACAATTTTGGAGAAGAAAATTTTTCGGTCGCTACCCGGATTCGAACCCGGGACTTTTGAATGAGAGGCCAACACCTTAACCTCTAGGCCACGAGAGCCCCCAACTATACTTTTACTGTTGTTTCTTAACTTTCTGTACATGAACAGCAGACAGTACGACACAATGAACCAACTCCTCTTGTTCGTAAATATCTGGCCTTGTCTGCTACACTTTCCACTGTTACAGCCTTTAAGGAACTCGTATCGTGTATATAAGAGCTTCTAGTTATGCCCCATAGATATTTTGATTGTGACATGTTCAGGACATTTGGAACGAAGGCTGCACACAAGAAATATTCCATCCCATTTATTTGATAAGAGTTTTACTAGATGAATAGATGAGGACCACAGCATGCTTTTAGCAATGATGTACCTGAAAAATTAACTTTCTCCTTATCTAGCTTTTTCTGTAGCAGTTCGCTGCCTTCCTCCCTCATCATGAAATACGATAGTTTTTAGTTTTAGTAAGAGTTTTACGGTACTTGCAACACAGTAAGGTAATATAAGTGCTAAAGATTAGAGGTGTTACAAGAGGGTAATAAACTCAAAAATAGAAGGAGGAGAGGTCAGGACGATATTTTTGATAGAAAAGAAGGAGCAAACCACACCAGAGCACCCGCCAACCACCCACTGAAATGAGAAGGGCTCTCGAAAGTTTAAAATTAAGAAAAGTAATGATCATTGCTCCCTCCCTGTACGTAGGTAGTTTTGATAATTTCTGTGACGCTTTGCATGTAACCATGGACCCAAAGTAGCATTTTGTGAGCTTCAGCACTCCATTACGGTACAATGATATACATTTACAAATGTACACATATTGCTGCTTTACTGCTCTATATTTGAAGACATTAACTAAAGAGGTGAAATGTTGTTCTTCCTTGGCTAATGCCAGACTAATTGTCTGTTGTAGGAGTAGCAGTATTAGGGACATTATTCAGGTGCACTACATTCGAAGGCAAACGATCAGGTGGTTTGGACATCTCACACGTATGGCACCTAATCAGCTTCCCACAAAGCGTACTACAGGAAAGTATCTGGGTACAAGGCAAGAGGAAGACCTAGAAAGACCTGGATCCAGGGTGCGAAGGATACCCTGAGAACATACAATATCCCACCCAGCCAGGCCGTCAAACTTGCAAGAGACAGGAAGCTATTTCTCCCCTCAGATAAAGTAAATTAAAGTATTCTAAAGCACTGTTTTGAGTACCGCCGGTCCATGTATCATTATAGTTGCCGAGTGAACAAAGAAAGTTGTTTATTTAAAAAATGTATATTTTTGCAAGTGATATCAGTATCAGTGGAGCTCTTTTTTACTAGGTAGTTTTCTACTGTATAACGATTATCCCAAACATTTCATAAACATTCCTCCAAGACTTCGCAAGTGCTGAAGAACTGAGGGGGTTGGGGGTAGTTTTATTCGAATTTATTTTATGTATCAATTTTATACTAATGGACAATTGCACAAACGTAAATATTTTGTATTTATTTGCACATCTTGATCTGCTCTTGATCTATTTGTATTTACTGATGAATCTTCATGATTCCCTGACATATGAAATGTATGACCAATTACCATACAACGCAAAAATGGTGATAGTAGACTTCTTCAACAATCTCTGGAATAAAGGCAAAATTCCGCTGGAGTTCAAGCACGCCACAATAATACCAATATTAAAACCCAATAAGAATAAAAGCCAACCGGCTTCCTACAGACCGATCTCTCTCACCAGTCATCTTGGAAAAGTTTTGGAAACAATAATAAATAATCGACTCATCTACATCAGTGAAAAAAAAAGAAATTATTCTGTGCCAACCAGTCGGGATTCAGAAGAAAAAGGCAAACACACGATCAGTTATTGAGATTA